TTAATATTTACACTTTACACTGTGAATTGCTTCAATTAAAAAACATTTTAAAGCTTAATAGTTTTTAAAGAAAAAATATCAGATGGGTATGGGTATCAGCTTATAATCAAGGTTTTGATGCTCCTTAGATCTGGAATCATTTGCTAAATTAAATAATAAATTGCATTTTTTAGACAACAGAAAATAAATTCACGTTAGTGTCTACACTTTTACTTTTATTAGTACATCAAAATTTCTTTGATCTTTCCTCTGTAGACTGGTGTCACATTTGCATACAGGAATCTGATTGGCTTTTATGTTTTATGATGCTATAACACTTGCCTTGCAAAACACAATGCAGCAAAATCACTGCAGTGGCACTTTAACCAGTCTTTAGTGTTTAATACAATCCCCTTCCGAAAGTATTGGAACGGCAAGGCCAATCCTTTTGTTTTTGCTATACACTGAATATATTTGGGTTTGAGATCAAAAGATGAATATGAGATGATAGATCACAATTTCAGCTTTCATTTCCTGATATTTACATCTAGATGTGTTAAACAACTTAGAACATGGCACCTTTTGTGGCAGACTACTCAATATTTAGGCGAGCAAAAGTAATGGAACAGATAGTCTGAAAGTAAATAACACTTAATATTGGGTTGCATATCGCTTGCTTGCAATAGCTGCATCAAGCCGGTGACCCACTGACATCACCGAACTGTTGCATTTTTCTTTTCTTTTTATTTTGTTGTAATAATCTTTATTTTGGAATCTGTGTGCTTCTGTTATTCACGTTATACCCATCAAAAAAAAAAATAATTTCATTACAAACATCTGTTTATACAACAGATTTTTTTTATTAAGAAAAGATCCAGTTAAACAGAGTACAAAAGGCATAAAATATTTCTTATGGATGTAAAGTTTTAAAAAGGATATAAAAACAGAGCTTTGCCAGAGTACAGCGATAATCATCAATAAAGCAAGCTCTGAAAGACAGAAGAAAAATCATTCAACTTCTTATATACTTTCTATACAATAACAGACTATCTTAATATGAAATGAATGATTTTCAATAATAATTATAGTTTTCTGTGCCTGGGACAAATCAAGTGTATATGATGTATAAGTATTCAAAAAGAAAAAAAGTTGTCTGAGAAGCAAAAAAAAAAATTCTGAAATCATACGGATTCTTAGAAATACTGCACAAGCCATAAATTAGTGCTGAGTCACTAATTTATTGATATAAAAATTTCATTGATATAAAACTTTTATGACGGCTTACACTCCTACTGTGGAAGGGCTGTTGGACGAGTATTTCATAAACTTCCATAACTTGGTATTTTTCAGAAAACATATTTCACATTCTTACTGATGTGGAAAAAACTCAGAAAACTCAGAAAATTGTCTACAATTTGATAGAATAATATCTGAAGTTTAAATATGCTGTAAAACTATAATATACTAATATATTATCTCACATATTTCTCATATTTGTAGTAGAATCTGAAGCTATTTTCCCACTTGTTCCCTCCAGTCAAGTCAGGAACTGATGGGATAATATATATATATATATATATAAAATTGACCTTGTTTTGGAATGGGATGTCCAACAAGCTCATACTGGTGTGATGGTCAGGTGTTTACATACTTTTGGACATATACACACTACCTGTATTTGTTTAATGCTCCAAATATTCATATCTGTGGATCTGTATTCAGATTTAAAACCTGAGTGGATGTGGCTTAAGAATTTTTTTTCTTTTTCTTTCATTCCAGCTCTTGCAATTATTATTTTTAAAATGTATTGTTTATGTTCACATTAATGAACATGGTCTTTCTTTGTCCCGCAAGCTTCATATCTGACTGTTTGCCCACAAGGAAGTAAAAACCTTCCAAGTGAATTTCCGGCAGACCATCAGCGTTTCTGTATCTGTATCTGTCTAGAACACATTATCTGTTCAATCTGTATAATCTCTCTCTTTCTCTCTCTCTCTCTCTCTCTCTCTCTCTCTCTCTATATATATATATATATATATATATATATATATATATATATATATATATATATATATATATATATATATATATATATATATAAATAGACCACTTAGTTGAACTGAACATAAATTTTTAAATTAACTATAAAATAAGGCATCAATCTGGCAACAACTGTGACTTTTGCAGTAAAAGGACCAGGCTCTGCAGCTAGAAAAAGATGATTAATTTTGTAATAACTGAAACCAGAAATGTTCAGGACGTGTAGCAGTGCGTGTAAACAATAATTACAGTTGTGGCAGTGAGCGAGCTGGATGTACGGTGTTCAGGACAGGGACAGGGCTTTGGCCAGTCGAACCCAGAACCAGGACTGTGTGCATGGCCTGGTGTAGTCACACACTGTCAGGAAGCGCAGAATGCTGGGAAAAGGCTTCGTCATGGGCTTGTAGACCACAGGAATCAGCCGTTTGGTCCGAGCCCCTGTGTGGAAAAAATATAAGGTCAAAACAACACATCAGAGCATGGCAGGAAGTGGCAAGCAGCCACAGGAAGTTTCCATGAGGTGCATATCTCTCTATTTTAAAGAAAAGAGTGAGAAATATAAAATGCTGGAAAGCACCACAGACAGTAAACTGTAGCTGTAGTGTGTCTGTGTGACTAGACATGTAGTAAAGTGATTTTATTTCAAAACACATCAACAATCAGGCAAAATTAATATTTAGAAACAGACCTGGGCAAAGGCTGAGGGCAAATTTAGTCTGGAAGTCACAAGCGTCGCTTTCCAAGTAATCATCAGAAATGACGACCACCATCCTCTTGCACCTAAAAAACAAAATGTCAGGATTTCTCTAAATCTCATCACGTCTCATCCCTTTAACGTACTATTAAAAAAAAAAAAGCTGCCATTAACCGAATGAGTTCAAAGTCTAGAGCCGGGAGATGAAGCCTCGTAAGCATCAGAGCCTTGCCTTCTCTCGATGAGCTCGCTGGTGATGGTCCACACGCATGTCCCGGGCAGGACGTCACGGTCAAACACACACAGCTTCAGGTTGTAGTCGGTCTGCTCCAGCTGTCTGATCATCTCATGGACAAACTGGAAGTCGCTCTGGCAGTAGCAAATGAACGCGTCGAACATCTCCGGCATGTGACCTGAACACAAGATCAGGACAAGATCAGGAAGTAAATAAATTAAAGCCATTTTCACAATCACAGTATTTGAATTTGATTATTTTCCACTGAGCCTTCTCACAAACTCGATCAGAAGAGTTTTATCAGAGGAAACCACTGTCTAGTCCTACACGGTCCAGAGTCCAGTGAAGTCTAGTGACATCCAGCTAAACCTAGCTGTGAAGCAGGGAAAAAAAAAATCACCGAGCTGTGCTGAAATTACAAACCGTCATTTACGGTGATGCCTCGATCCTGGTGCCTGCTGTCCACCTCGGGCACCTGAACAGGAAGCTCCTTTTGCCTCTCTAGATACTTCCTGCAGTCGTCATCTGCACACAGAGAGGAAGACATCTCCTTATTATGCTGTAGCCGCGAATTAACACTCATTAACATGCCTGCCACATCAAGATCATGGAAATGTAAAAGTCTGACCTTTTGGACAAAAATTAGTTCATGTTATAAACATTTTATTAAGAAGTGATAAAATGCATGTAAGTAATATAAAAAATATGACATTGAAAAGTTGTACTTGCTTTGACCTTGTTGAGAGTCAAAGCTTCATGTGTTAAAATTACACATAGAGCCGTACAACTCCAAGGTACCACACCGTCCTTGATTATTTTTCTATAGGAGCACACATTTTTTATTCCTCTTATACCACAGCAACTTTCCTAAACTCACTGTTTGTTTTATTTTAAAAGAATAACGCATCATAATTTTTTATTAAAAAAAGTGGAATTTTTTTTCCAATATCACAGAATAAGTGAATGTATAAAAGTAACCTTCACTATTTATACATTTAGGGTCAGATACCCCATCTTCAGAAAAGGCTTTACTCATATCAGACTGAAACCTGTTAAAAAAATACAACTACAAATTCTGTGATTAAAACATGCAAATCAGGCAATCATTACATACACTCTCAGACCACTTTATTAGGAACACCTGTACCTTCATGCAATTATCCAATCAGCCAGTCGTGTCGCAGCGGTACGATTCATGATCATAAAATCATATTGATACAGGTCAAGAGCATCACTTAATGTTCAAACATCAGAATGGAGAAAAAATGTAAACTGGACAGCTGAAGATTGAAAAGAAAAAAAAAAAGTCGCCTGGTCTTGGTGGAATCTGTACCCACTGTACCTCAGATTCCTGTTCTCCGCTGACAGGAGTGGAACCTGATATAATTTTCTGTTGTTGTAGCTCATCTGCTTCAAGTTTTGATGTGCTGTGCTTTGTGAGATGCTTTTCTGCTCACCATGGTTGTAAAGAGTGCTTATTTGAGTTACCATTGCCCTCCTGTCTCCTCTGACAAGGCTCTCTCATGAACAAGACATTTCTGCCTGCAGAACTGGATGTTTTTTGTTTTTCGCACCACTCTGTATGGAGACTATTTCGCATGGAAAATCCCAGAGAATCCCAGCGAAAGAGATCAGCAGTTTCTGAAACACTCAAACCAGCCACCAACAAGACTGCATGTTTCCTCATTCTGAGGTTTGATGTGAATGTTAACTGAAGCTGTGCATGATTTAACACATTGTCCTGCTGCCACATGATGCACTGCATGACTGACTGGATAATGGCATGAATGTGTCTCTAATAAAGTGGTCAAATTTGCATATCACGTCCATTCTCTGTACCACTTATCCTACGCAGGGTCACGGGGGAGCCTGGAGCCTATCTCAGGGGACTCAGGGGACAAGGCGGGGGACACCCTGGACACGGTGCCAACCGATTGCAGGGCTCGTTCAAATTCCCATTCACACACTCCAGATGCCAATCAGCCTACAGATTATGTCTGGGGAAGGAAACTGGAGTGCCCAGAGGAAACCCCCCAAAGCATGGGGAGAAAATAGCAGATGAGGGATTTGAACCCACAACCCCTGACATGCGAGGCGACAGCGCTAACCACTAAGCCACCATGACCCCACCCCTTACATACCACAATAATTTGTAATTTATTTGTAAACAAATGACTCTCCTGAAGCAATGCAGCCCTATCAGTATGTGATATGTACATGCATATGCATCTGATCTGTATATTTGATTATGATTATTATTATTTTTATGTCATAAAAGCACGAGGCAGATTTTAGATCTATGCATGAAGAGAAATAAGGAAAAGTGACCTATAAGTAGGCGCAGGTCTGAGATGATGTCTTTCCTCTCTGCTTGCTCCAGGAAGGACAGCAGCTTCCCCACCGTGGCCCCGGCGCGGGTCTGCCAGTCCTCCAGCAGCTTCTGGGTGGGATTCTCTCGCTTCTCGTAGTTTTTAATCTCCAGGTAGGTGAACTCCATTTTCTCGGCGATTTCGGTCCAGTCTGCTGCCACCGTGTTCGTGGGGTTTAAATACAGAGCCAGTCTTTTTCTCACGCTGTAGTTCAGAGCTATGGCTGGAATCGACTCATAGTCCACGCAGGAAGATGAACTCGACGACATGATGAGCCACTAACAAGTGTCACCCTTATTATTATAACTATTATTAGTAATTAATAGATGAATTACTACTTTCCTGAACGGCGGTAATAATCTTCCTTTGCTCCTTTTAACTCATTTCAGAAAGAATTTTTACGAAAGAAAAAGAACAGACTAACCTGACTGCACTGTGTGTACACCTTATCTATTAGATTACGAAGTTTATCTCCGGGAAAGAGGAAATAATCATGTATTTCATCATCAGTGACGTGTTGGCACACATCCAATCACATGCCGAGGTGATCCGCGTCATCTTAACACCGGAAGTAAAATTTCACCCTTGTCCATTTCAGGTACTTTTCTTTTACAGCTCACGTTTACTCTGTTTCTAGTCATTTATCATCCATCAAAGAGGTTTGAGCTTTCCACGCAGCAATAGATTTTAGACTAAATATGTTACAATCATGGTTTAAACTAAAAACTAAACTAAAAACTTCTTATCAAGTTAGCGTTAGCGTGCGGCTAACATGAACTACTGTGTCTGTTACAGGCAGTAAACATTCCCCTTAATGTTAATGTGTGTTTTTATAGAAATGAACATCATCTGCGTCAGTCAGTCTATTGGGAAACCAGGAACCTGACAGGCGAAGTTCCCGGATGAAAGAGCAGTCTCTGATTTGTCCCCACCTGCGTTGGTCCATGGGATATGTAGTTTTTGCAAATGGACTACAAACAGAATCTTGCATTTCTAGGTCTTGTGCCAGTTTAGTTTCTGTGGGCCTCATTCTTGTGTGTTGACAATGCAATTTTTCCTTTTTTTCAGTTCAGGCCCCTTAAGATTATTAAAACTTAGAGGCCGTGTGGAGTCAATTCCATTTTGCCCCTGGTTGTGATTCTCCTTTTTACATATTCAGAAAGTAGCAAAACCTGGTATATTCCATTCATCCATCCGTTTTTCCGTACCGCTTTTCCTACACAGGGCCGCAGGGAGCCTGGAGCCTTTCCCAGGGGACCCGGGGCACAAGGTGGGGGACACGCTGGATCAGGTGCCAACCCATCACAGGGCACAATCACACACACACACACACACTACAGACAATTTGTAAATGCCAATCAGTGTTCAACGCATGTCTCTGAACTGAGGGAGGAAGCCAGAGTGTGCAGAGGAAACCCCCGAGGCACTGGGAGAACGTGCAAACTCCACACACAGGATGGAGGCACGATTCAGGCCCTCAATATTCATGAAGTCTAAATTTATTTTTACATCACACTGATTTGTCTTGAAAAGTTACTGTTCATGAAACGAATCAGCATTTATTCAGATTCACTAAACCTGAGAATTTTCACGAATGATGAAGCACAAAAATGGTTTACTTTTAATTGCAACTTTTCTACTCAACTCATAAAGAAGCCCTTCATAAAATACAGTGTTATTTAACAAGTCAAGTGAAATGTAGCCTTGAGGTCTAAACTCCATGCAGGGATTCAAAAAAAAAAAAAAAGCATTTGTTCTTTTAATTAAAAGTAAATCCTCCTCTGCTTCACATTCAGCACAGGAATAGATACAATCATTAACATGCTTCTTCTCTTCTCCTTTCTTGTAAATAGAGACCAGAAATAGGCTGCCACAACTTCTCACTTCTCATTTATGAGACAAACCTGCCTGCAGAGAGAGAGAGAGAGTGTGTGTGTGTGTGTGTGTGTCTGGCACTGAATGGTGTTCTGCTGTTCCACACTTTCACAATTTCATCTCAAAACACACATGCACTGTTGAATTAATAATAAAAATACCTTATTTCTTTCAAATACACAACCTCAAGGCTTACTGTAAACGTTAAATCATTAAAGTTAAATGAAGAATTGTGAGATGTTTCTTGCAACTATGATTAGGAAAAACAAGAAAAATAAGTGAATAAAAGTAAAATGTTTTTATTGACATATTTTCTTATGCTATATATTTTCTTTGGTTAAAATCTAGATGTCCTTGTGCTCACTTGGCACGTTTATACACCGATCAGCCATAACATTAAAACCACCGACAGGTGAAGTGAATAACATTGATTATCTCATTACAATGGCACCTGTCAAGGGGTGGGATATATTAGGCAGCAAGTAAACAGTCGGTTCTCTAAGTTGATGTGATGGAAGCAGGAAAAATGGGCAAATGTAAGGATCTGAGAGACTTTGACAAGGGCCAAATTGTGATGTCTAGACGACTGGTTCAGAGCATTTCCAAAATGGCAGCTCTTGTGGGGTTTTCCCAGTATGCAGTGGTTAGTACCTACCAAAAGTAGTCCAAGGAAGGACAACCGGTGAACCAGTGACAGGGTCATGGGTGCCCAAGGCTCACTGATGCACATGGGGCCCGAAGGCTAGCCCGTCTGGTCTGGTTATGATAGAAAGGTGTCAGAACACACAGTGCATCTGTATGGAGCTGCATAGCCACAGACCGGTCAGAGTGCCCATGCTGACCCCTGTCCACTGCCGAAAGCACCTACAATGGGCACGTGAGCATCAGAACTGGACCACGGAGCAATGGAAGAAGGTGGCCTGGTCTGACGAATCACGTTTTCTTTTATATCATGTGGATGGCTGGGTGCATGTGTGTTGCTTACCTGGGGAAGAGATGGCACCAGGATGCATTGTGGGAAGAAGGCAAGCTGGTGGAGGCAGTGTGCTCTGGGCAATGTTCTGCTGGGAAACCTCGGGTCCTGGCATTCATGTGGATGTTACTTTGTCACACACCACCTACCTAAACAAGTCCGATCCATGGAGGCCCCACCTCGCAACTTGCAGGACTTAAAGGACCTCCTGCCAACGTCTTGGTGCCAGATACCACAGCACACCTTCAGAGGTCTTATGGAGTCCATGCCTTGATGGGTCAGAGCTGTTTTGGCGGCACAAGGGGGACCTACACGCTATTAGGCAGGTGGTTTAACGTTATGGCTGATTGGTGTATTTATGACGCAATAACACCAGCCTGTGATGTGTTCAATACTGACTCAGGTTTTCCAGGGAGTTTTTTTATTATTTTTTTTTTTTAGCTTCACCTGTGATCTTTAAAAATTCTTTAAAAATTTAAGGTGTCCCATCATAACCAAAAGGATCAACTTGTGACTGAAAGGTGTTGGCTTCAGCACTCAATCCTTAATCCTTTTTTTACTTTTAATAATTTACATTTAGATTTTACATTTATGGCATTTATCAGTGAACACATCAATAACAAATACATCCTGATCCTGGTTCACTAGGTCACGGTCTAATGATACTAACAGTCTAAAAAAAACTTTGCTGGGGAGGTAATATAGTAAGAAAAGCACACAGATAACATTTGGGCATTTCTTGAATCATCTCAATTCATCATCACAGTAAAAAAATGAAGGAAGAATGGAGTTCTGAGGGAAGTGGAAAAATCCACACGTACATTTCAACTGAAGAATTCGGTTTCCATTTTTCAGTCATAAGATTTTCACAACTTCCACATGCTGTTTAACATAACAGCAAAAGGACATACTGAATCACAATGTATTATTATTATTATTATTATTATTATTATCATTATTATTATTATTATTATTATTATTTCCAAACTGCAGCTTATCATTAAAAACCTGCTTTTTCTTTCATATTGACCTGAAATATTCCTGAGTGTGTGGTAAGGAGTCACCCCCTGCTGGTCATGAACACACACAGAACTGCTGTTAGAGAAAACGAATCAACACCTTCTGACCAATCAGATTCAAAAGAATTCAACAGCTGCTGTATAAAATGATTTTAAATTTGTAAGGGGAATTTGAGGAACAGTATTTCTCTAAGGGAAATGAAAAACTCCTGTTCTAAACCATGAGGTCTCCCATCATCTGACGTTCGATAAATTAAAAACCACTTGATTTTTTAAACCTTTCCTTTATTTATTCCAATGTACAAAATCACTTTCAGAATAAATGTGTTCTGGTTTTATCATAAAGGCAATAAAGAATTTTTCATTCCTAGCCTCCTTCAAAAACCTCGGAGGTCATTTCATCATTTACTCAGAAAAAATCCAGCTCTACAAGTTTCGGTAATATCATGACTAAAGTATCTGGAATATAATAAAACATCTTGTAAAAAGTGCAGTACAATCTGTACAGTGCTTACAGAAAACATAGACACCCTTTTCGCCGGTTCGGTTCAGATTTTCTGATCTGGCACTTGGTCAAATGATTAAGTGACAGAACATTAACACTGTTTTTGAAAACAAACCTCAAATACATACATATTTTCTTCTTTCTGGTTTGTTCCTAATGTGTGTAAGGCACAGACGTGTGCACTGGTGATGTACCACATGTCATAGGAGTGTATCAGGCGTTTCATACCTGTCTTGGTACATCATTAATTACTTATACAATGAATATTTTTTAAAGGTCAAGTTTGTCATTTTTAAAAGTGCATCTACATCTGTAATAATCACACAATCATTTTCAAAGACACCTTAGACAAAATGTGTGATATTGCTATGCAATGGATTTGGC